TCGCGTCGGGATTTTTTTTTATTTTTATTTTTATTTTTTCTACCGAGAGGAGAAATTTAGAGACGCACTTCCATCCGAACGGATTGCGTGTGTAGCATGCATGTTGCTGTGTGTCTTTCGTTCCTCCATCCGTCCGTCCATCCCCATCCATGCCCGTCCATCCCTCAGCCAGGACAAGGGCAACAAGTTGGAGATCTCTCACTCCTCGTCGTCGCTCTCTGCCTATATCCCAACCCACCTTTCCCCGCTCCCCGTGCCTCCCCCTCCGTCCCTCCCCTTCCCTCCCCGTTCCTCCCCCGTCCATCCCCCGCCGTCCATCCACATCCCTCCGCGTCCCTCCGCTCCCCTTCGCCTTCCCTCCGCGTCCGCCAGGCCAAGGGCAGCAAGGTGGCGATCGAGGGGCCGCGCTGCAGCCTGCGCACGCGCAAGGCGTACAGCGACAGCATGGTGGACTACCTGCGCATGACCGCACTCAACCTGCCCGCTGCCATCCTTGCTCTCCTCGTGTGAGTTCTGCCACCGCCTCTCCCTGTGCCTCACAGTGCAAGCCATGTAAGGGCCACTGGCAGCTGCCTGCCCACACCCCTCTCCACGTGCCAGGCGTACAGCGACAGCATGGTGGACTACCTCCGCATTACCGCCCTTAACCGCTGCTCCGTTGCTCCATCACATCAGCCTCGCCTGAACCCCCAACATTCACGGCAGTGCCCCTGCCCCTTTTCGCCTCATGCACAGCACATGCTGGTCCTTTCATCCCGCATGCCGCCTCGCAGTCCTTTGTTCCAGGTCCAATCATCATTCCTCTGTGATTCCCTCCCTTTTCCGTTCCCACTCCCTCTCTTCCTGCCGTCTCGCCCTCCCTATCCCTGCATTCTTCGACTGCCTCTCTCCCCGTCTCGCCTCTCTACAGCGTTTTCTTCTTTGATGATATCAGCGGATTCGAAATCACCTACCTGCTCGAGGTAAATATTAGAGAACTCCAACCTTTTCACGGTATTTAGTAAAAATCACCTACCTGTTCGAGAAACCTACCCTGCTTTGCTATGCCACACTTCCTATCTTTCTCATCCTGGCACTTTTCCACGCTTCCTAACTCGTCCATGCAACTTGCGCTCTCCTCCCTGCCACTTGCGTGCTCTCCTCCCTGCCACTTGCGCACTCTCCTCCCTGCCACTTCCTCTCTACACCATTCGTTGAGCCATGGAGCTTCACCTTCACAATCTTCGTGCTGCTGCGCCTGGGGTATCGTTCCAATAAATTGACTCACCTTTCCATTCTCTCTCTGTCTCCATCTTTTCTCTTCCACCCTCTCCCACCCTCCCCTACCCCCCCCCAACCCTCCACTAACTTCCCCTATCCTCCCCTACCCTCCCCTATCCTCCCCTACCCTCCCCTATCCTCCCCTACCCCCCCCCCACCCTCCCCTAACTTCCCCTATCCTCCCCTACCCTCCCCTATCCTCCCCTACCCTCCCCTATCCTCCCCTACCCTCCCCTATCCTCCCCTACCCTCCCCCACCCTCCCCCACCCCCCTGCACCGCTCTCGCTCAGCTCCCGGAGCCCTGGAGTTTCATCTTCACGTGGTTTGTGGTGCTGCCCGTCGTATACCTGCTGAGCCAAGCAATCACCAACGGCATTTTCAAGGACTTCCTCATTCTGCAGGTATGGGCGCATGGGTATGCATGGGCGCATGGGTGCACGCGCACATGGTGCATGAGTGATTGTACCTGCTGAGCCAAGCAATCACCAACGGCATTTTCAAGGACTTCCTCATTCCGCAGGTGAGCAGCATGCCAGGAGGGCCTCTATTTTCATGCATGGTTGCATTGTCTCATGGGGGTATGGCCGCATGGGCGCTTGGTGCATGAGTGAACGTACCTGCTGAGCCAAGCCATCACCAACGGCATTTTCAAGGACTTCCTCATCCCGCAGGTGAGCAGCATGCCCAGACATCCCCAATTCCCTGATGCTATTGTATGGGCTCATGGATAAGGCGTTTGGGGGCATGGCTGCGTGAGTGGCTGCACGTACTGGCTGGCATCTTCAGGAGCTCTTGCCCGCTCCTCACTACCATTCCCCTCCTGCTGACCCCTCCACTATTCTCGCCCCACTACCCCTGTTTACCTCGAATGGTCTGCTGCTAACCCCCCTCTCCTGTTAACCACTCTGTTCCCACCCACCTTCCCCTGAGACCTCTGCTTCAACCACCCCTGATTGCTCTACACTCTCTTCCCCTTTCTCTTTCCCCCTCTCTGCTTTCTCTTCCCCCCCAATTTCCCGGAGCCCGTGACCCACCTGCCCCATCTTACCCTCCCTTCTTTGCCCACATCCTCCCCCCTCCCACTCTCAGGTTCTGTGCCCAGTTTAACCTGCTCACGAATCCCCTCTCTTTCCATCCCTCTCCTCTTCCACCCGCAGGGCCCGTGCCCCAACTGCGGGCACAAGAACGTGAGTTTCTTCGGAACCATTCTCACAGTCAGCACGGGGCAACGGGTCAACCAGCTCAAGTGCGAGGGCTGTGGCTCCTCCATCTCTTTCGACCTCGACACCCGCAGAATCACGCTCGAGGCCCTCCCTCCCGTTTCAGCCAACAAGGTATGGTACCTCGACTGTTCCATGTGTCTTGTCCTCCCTGTGCACGGCTTGTCTTTGAGGGATGATACTGAGCTCGCTTTACTGATAGTGTTAAGTGGATCTTGATTTTTATGGCAATTCTGTCTCTGGTTGGGTTTCCACTGTTCTTCTCACTTGTTCAGCTTTTCCCAATCTGTCTTGCAGGGAGCACCCAAATCTGCATAATTACCAACGTTACTTATGGTTGTCAATATTGCCCGATGCTTGTTGTAATCAACAGTATTCCCATGGTTGAATTCGGCTCAAATGCCCTCTTATTCACTATGCACAGTCCTCTGATTCCAACAACACTGAGGAATTAGCAATAATTTCCCTGCCTTTTCAAGTATGCTTTGCTAGGAGATGTATCACAGTAAATATAATGCCCAGATGACTACAGTCTTAATACTATTGGAATCATATGCTATAACAATACATAAACACATACCTTTCCTTAAGGGGCATCCGTACTTGTAATCCAGCTACATATGCGGACTCGTCTAATAGATGAGCTTGTAACGTGAACCCCCCGAAACTGCAGAGTTAATGAAGATCGCAATTCACTATTTACTCATGACAGTCGGAAAGCTGCAGTCAGCTGTCGACGCGTCGACACATAGTGCTGTACCATTCTATTCTTCTCTGTTAAACTTGGAGAAAACAAATCGGTTGCCCCGTCAAGAACATCGTAAAAGCTCAGTTGGGTTTCTCTCTCTACTGAACCGAGTTCTGCTCAGCTGTTATTTCGCCAATAAACAATAAAGTGAAAGACCCCCCTCTCCCTTGGTTTTTGGGAACGAAATGAGCATGCTACCTGAACAGGTGTACTTCCAGAATCGCGTAAAACGTTAGGATGGTCAGGGTCAACGCAGTTGCCTTCCCGCACGTGCTTGCTGCGAAGCTCAAGCACACGGCATGTTCCGCTCCGTGTTTTGTGTGTTTGTGTGTGTGTGTGTGTGTGTCTGTGGGTGTGGGTGTGGTGGGTTCGCTCGATTCGATTTGGGCATCCGCAGTCAACCTTGTTGCTTGGTTTCATCAATCTGTGTCCCGCTTGTCATGCCAGATCAAAGGATTCGTCTCGCGGGCAGACCTGCCCGAATTCCTAGTTCTTATACAGTTCACTGTTCGGAGTGTCATGGTTAAGCAACTGTAGTCATAAATGCATCACCGCTCTCCACACGAGACCAGTGTTTGTACATTTTATATTCCTTGTACTTTTCCAGTCTGCCCGGGTGTGAGTTAGGCCTACCCTTCACAAAGCAACGACACTACGTACTTTAATTTCCCCTGTGTGAACATGAGGGGTTCCGTGCTGGAAGGGTCTGAGCAATATGCAAGTACAGTTCTACTGTCAGCAATTACGTACTGAGTGTCGGAATAATAGGAGAACAAAACTGTTTGGAACCAGGAACTACACCGAAGGAACAAATGACAACTGTTTGAAAGTACACGTCAAACCTGCCGGTTTTTTCACGGCCGTCGTCCAAGTCGTCCCAACCTACCAACCGCATCCTAGCAAGTCGTCGTCGCCGACAGCCTTGGAAGTCGTCGCTGGGTCGTCACCGCCAACACTGTACACTCAAAGGAACGCGCGTGGTTAGGGGACAAGCATAGGACAAAGTTGGGTAAGGGGCCGAACTTGTCAACCAATCAATGATGATTCACCGTGTCAATCTCTAAAATTATTCGTTCCTTACGATGGTCTGGCGATTCTTGGGATGCGGTTATGCTATCGCATGCTGCGAACCACACAGCAAAAGACATGCCATCCCAATGGCAAGCCGTAGCGCGATCCGTCATTCCCGCCCTAGTCCATGGAAAAGGAAGTGCCCCCCCCCCCCCCAACCCAAGCCGGAGAACGTGCCTGAGCATCCAACAAACCAACCAACCAACCAACCATAGCAGCTGAAGCAGCCCAGCATTGCAGCAACACAAAGTACGAACATCATTTCGCACCAGCGCCAAACAAACACGATTTTTATTTTTATTTTTTATTTCCAGCCCCAAACCAACACAAGCCTCCCTCGTGCAGAGGGGCACCAGAGCAGAGCAGACCCAAAACTGCCAGTGCCAATAAAGGGAGTATGCTGCTGTCTGGACTATACACATTTCCCCCACCCTCCAATTTTCCCACCCCCGCCTATCACAACAACTTGTTGCAAGCCAGCAAGCAACCATTTTCAATCCAGCAATCTTGAAGCAGCAACCATTACCATCCAGCAAAACCCTAGCAACGCGCCTAGCCGCAGAGTACCAACAGCGAAGCTACGGTAGCTTTCTTTATCGCACCGTACGACATTCAACCCGGAGCATATTAATTACTAATCAAGACAGCAGCAAAGCGTGTAAAGGGAAAAATGTCAACGGAAGATGATGAATCTCCCTCTATGGAGGTGCAGCTGGAATCGTTGGGAGATTTGTGCAGACGGCTTCAGGAAGCGGCGCGGCAGGCGCATTCCAACAGCAAGGTGCTCTTAAAGCATGCGGACACCATGGTGCTGCGCGTCGAGATCGCCAAGCGCAGCGTCGACCTCGTAGACCATGAATTCGACCAGGCGCTCGGAAGGTAATGCCATGCAAATAGCTGAAAATCTCATGAAAAGATGAAGAAATGTACAACATAAATGAAGAAAAGCCCACAAACAATAGCAAAAAAGAAAAGAAAAAAAAGGGAACATCTTTCAACTACCCGCTCCAAGCCCTCATTTCTCTCTTCGCTCCTCGCTATGCCCCATTCCAGGTATACACATTTGATACCCTCAAGCTCCGTGTAAGGCAATTTTAAGGAGTGTAGGTCTGATTAAGGCCTATGAAACTTCGCGAAGTCCTGATTCCTCCCCAGATTTGATGCCTCATGCTTTAGACCACTGGACCGGTCATTAGAGCTGCAAAGTTTAGTTGGATCAGGTTTATCCTCACTGCTTCCTTCCGCCTCTCTCCCCTTCCCCCCTCCCCTTTTGGAGCCTTGAATTCTGCCGGTGGGACTGATCCGCACCACTGAACCAAAGTCATACGAATGTGCAAAATTTCCTCCTTGGATCAGGCCCGACCCCACTCCCCCGCCTTCCCCAGCTCCTTCCCCCTCCCTCCACATCCCCCCTCCCCTTTTTGGAGACACCACTGTTTTATATGGTGGAACAGATCCGTAACGAAACATTTTGCTGCGTGTTGCGCGGGTTACCGCATTCGGGTTCTCGTTACAACCAGTCGCTGCACAGTGACCAGCTATGGCTCGAACCCCAGGCTCTGATACCAGTATAACGCCTCGTGGCTAGACCTCGGGTGAAACAAGGGTAATAAAAAAGTGCAGCAGCATTTTTTAAATATCCCTCGTGAAAGTCCTCACATCATCATGCCAAACCCATCCCTCTCTGCTTTTCTCCCCACAACCCCCCCAGCGAGGCTCAAGAGCTCGTGAAATCCGCCATCCCAACGCTCGCCATGTGTCAAACAGCCCTTTTTAGAATCAACTAAAAGATCGCCTCACCACACGTGGATTTTATGTGGAAACATTGTTTGTTGCCTGATAAACTTGGTTGCAGCCTGCAAGTGTTAGTGGTGCGTGCGAGCGCGACTTCTGAAGTTGCCCCCTGGCGGAAAACCGAGCCCTTTCTACCCACAAACCCCAACCCTCTACTAGCGATGCGACAGGCGCTCAGGAGCTTGTGGAAGCTGCGCCGCATGACATGCGGGTTATATGTGGAAAGATTGTTTGAGAATCGGTTGTAACGTGCGAGGGTTACAGGTAGTGCATGCAAAAACCTGAGCCCTTTCTCCCCACAAAACCCAACCCTCCACCAGCGACATGACAGAGGCACAAGAGCGCGTGGAAGCTGCCATCTCATCCCTCAGTGTCAGCCCAAGCTGCCTCCTGACAAAAATCTGAACCCTTTTCCCCACGAACCCCAACCCTCTACCAGCGACGTGACAGAGGCTCAAGAGCTCGTGGAAGCTGCCATCTCATCACTCGCCACGTGTCAGACTCTCCTTGGCTCGTCGTCCGTCCCTGTCAGCGACTCTCCTCGCAATGCTTCTGGCCACAGAGTACCAGGCTCTGCTATTGCTGCCGGCGCCACCGCCGCCGCTGCCCCTGTTGCAGGAGTGGCAGGAGGTGCAGTCATGCGGGCATCTGCACATGAAGCTGCAGCTAATGTAGGCAACCCCACAACACCAGGACAACTGAACATTGTGCCAACACCAGCGGACCCACAGCAACAGGCTGAAGCTGCAGAAGCAACATCGTCACCCCCACCACCATCCTCATCAGCTGCAACTGCTGCAACAGTGGCAGCATCGGAAGCAGCAGTGGCAGCAGCAGCGGCAGCAGCACAGCGGCAAACACAGGCCGAGGGACCTCAGGAGGAGCACCGCTACAACTGGAACCCCCACAACCACTTTCCATACGGGTATGTCAATATTGCTGCTGCGTCCTACCATGGTAACGCTTCCTTACCCATGGGAACAGGTGACATGAGAATTGCTAACGCCTTTGCTGCTCATGCTGGTGCTTCAGCTCTTGCAAGTGCTCTGCCCCTTCCCGGGGGATCATTACCCCCTCCTTTATCACACGCACAAGGAGAAGAAGTAGCAGCAGGGGGAGGAGAAGGAGGAGGGGGGGGGAGAGGGGGAGGGGGAGAAGGAGTGGGAAGGGGAGGAGGAGGAGGAGACGAAGAGGGAGGAATAGTGGGAGGGGGAGGGGAAGGAGGAGGAGGGTCAGGAGGAGGAGAAGCCAATGCGCTGCCAGGCTCCAGACAAGCATCAGGTACGAAGTGGTTCCAGGGTTTTCCAGGGAGTGGTGGTACACCTCCTGGGGGAACAAGAGGAACGGATGCTTCTTCCACCTGGACTGCAACTCGAGGGGTAGCAGCTGGGAGTTCTGAAGCAGGGCTGACAGCTGCAGGGGTTGCTGCCGGTGGGCACAGCAGTCTGGGAGGACTGGAGGCGGCTGGAATGGCTGGGGCAGGTGCAGTCCCATACAGGGCTGTAGCGGCATCAGTGCCATACAGTGCTGTAGCACCGCTGGTGCCATACAGCTCTTTAGCAGGGCTGACAGGGGGGCGGTTGGAAAAGGGAGGAGGAGGCAGGGCAGGGGAGATGGATGATCTGGCTGCACGGGTGAGTCTGGAGACAGCGCTAGGGGACAACCTGATAAGGCAGGCTCTTGCTTTCCTGCAAGAGGAGGGAGACGAAGGAGAGAGGGTAGCAGGTGGGATGCATGGGGCGGGAGGGGCGGGGGGAGTCGGAGCAGGAGGGGCGAATGAGGAGGCAGCGGCTGGGAACCAGGGGGGTCAGAGCGTGAGTGGTGGCAGCGGCAGCGGGATCAGCCTTGCCGCTGCAGCCGCAGCTGCAGCAGCACCAGCGGCATCACCAGCAGCAGCAGCGGCAGCAGCAGCAAACAGCCATGCTGTTGCTGCTATCACTGGCAGGGCTGCTGCGCCTGGGACCATTAGCAGCCTTGCGGCCTTTCCCAGATTCAGCACCAACAACAGGACTCCCTCTGGTGCAACCGGTGGCATAGCTGCTAGCGCTGGTGGTGGCGGTGGTGGTGGCGGTGGTGGTGTTGCTGTTGCCCCTGCCTTGGCAGCTGCTGGTTTCTCAAGAACTGGACTGGCAACGCATGGCGGAGAGTCAGACAGGAAACGAGCAGCAGAGGAGGATCCGGACGGGCAAACCCTCATCCCCCACAAGCGGCAGCGTGCGCCTGCAAAACCCTCCGCCTCCGAAATCCCTCCGGACGGATGGGAGTGGCGGAAGTACGGGCAGAAAGCTACACTCGGGCAGCTGTACCCGCGGAGTTATTTCCGGTGCGCGTTCCGGGGCGGGGGTCCGCCATGCATGGCGAAGAAATGGGCCGAGCGGTGCAACGAGAACCCGTCGAACTGGAGAATTAAGTACATGTCAGAACATAACCATGCCAAGCCACCGCCTCGGCCGGTTACGATCACCATAGTGCATGATGGCATGGGGGTGGATACGTGTGGAGGGGCGATTGGGGCTGTAGGGCCACCGTTGCCAGCACTCAGTGGCACGTCTCCGCTTGCCCTGCCTGGTACTCCTGGCTCTGCTGGTGCTGGTGCTTCTGGTGGTGCTGCTGGTGCTGCCGCTGGTGGTGGCAGTGCTGCTGGTGCTGCCGCTGGTGGTGGCAGTGCTGCTGGTGGTGGCAGTGCCGCTGGTGGTGCTGCTGGTGCTACGGAAACTAATGCTACTACTGTCCCAAGCTCCCCGCTGCAGCTGCTGTCGGCCTCATGGCCTGGAAACGTGGAGGAAAACACACAAGGTGCTGCTGCTGGTGATGGCACTGTTGGTGGTGCTGCTGCCACTGGTGTTACTGATGGTGGTGGTGGTGCTGCTGATGCTGCTGCTGCTGCTGATATGGATACCGGGAGTGATGAGGAGGGAAGAAGCAAGGAGTTACATACACCCGACCAGGGAGGTTCGGCCGAACGTGAGCCACGGTCAGGGTCGAGAGAGGGCAGAAGTGGGAGGGAGAGCGCAGGGGATTTGGGTCGGGCAGAGGAGAGCAGCACTGGTGTGAGTCCACCCTCTCAGGCAAACCCACCTGGAGCAAACCACCCAGGGTCATACCTGGCGGGGTCACACCCACCTGATTTGACTAAAAAATCCCCTGAAGCGCAGTTGCCTGGGGTGTCCCAACCAGATGCAAGGCAAAACAGTGAAATGAGAGGTGCTGATCGAAGGGAAGATGAAGGGGGGGAGGGAGAAAGGGGGGAAGAAGGGCAAGTGGGGGACGTGGGGCATGAGCAGCAGCATCTGCATGGGCAGCAGACGACAGGCGGAGAGTCGAAGCACGAAGACAGGCGAAGAGCGACGCAGGACGAACCAGATACCAGAGGCACGAGTGTGTCCTGCGTCCAGGTATCTGGTTCGCCAAAGAGTGCAGGTGGTGCACAGAGGCAGGAGACTGCTCGAGGTGCAATGGTACCAACAGCAGCAACCACAACAGAAACAACAGCAGCTATTGCGGAAACAGCATTACGGGGAGTGAGACCTGCGGTGTGCACGCCAAACATGGCTGATGCAGCTGCAGCACCGATGGCACTAACTCCCATTACAGTTACTTTAAGGGGGGCTGCAGCAGCAGCAATAGCAGGATCGTCGGCAGCAGCAGCAGCGGCGGCGGCGGCGGCACTTGCAGGTTCGGCAGCAACAGGTGGCACAGAGAGAGACGAAGCAGCAGATAGCGGCTTGCTCATAGACTGCCCCCACAGAGGCTCGTTCATTCCGAGCCTAGGCTCTTGGATCGACGTGGGCGCCGTACCTATGTGGGCCACTCCCGGGGTTAATGACTCGTCGAGCTCCGCGATTAGCCGGGCTGGTGTGGACCAATGGCAGCTGGTGGCTCAGGAAATTGAGGTGCCTTCTCCTGGAATGCTGGCCGAGATGAATGCTGAGAGGGGGATGATGGACGATATGAGGAGGGAGGATGGGGACGAGGGAGAGGGATGAGTAGGAGGGAGAGGAGTGGCGATTGTTGAAGGCTAAACTGCTTGGGCATTGAGGTGCCTTCTCCTGGGATGCTGGCCGAGATGAATGCTGAGAGGGGGATGATGGAAGATACGGGGGGGGAGCATGGGGACGAAGGGGAGGGATGAGTGGGGGTAGGAGGAGGGTCAGGGGAGAGAGCGGAATTTGTTGAAGGACTTGCTGCCTGGTCATTGAGGTTCCTTCGCCTGGGATGCTGCCGAGATGAATGCTGAGAGGGGGATGCTGGAAGATATGAGGAGGGAGCATGGGGGCGAACGGGAGGGATGAGAATGAGGGAGATGGGAGGAAGATGATGGGTGAAAGCATGGAATGCGGTGGGATTTGAAGCCAGGGTATTGAGGTGCCTTCCCCTGCCATGCTCATGCTGGCATGCTCATGCTGGCATGCTCATGCTGGCAGCGATCAGTGCTGAGACATGGATGATGGAGGATATTGGGGGGGAGCATGGGGGTGAGGAGGAGGGATGCGAATGAGGGGATTGGGAGGAGGGTGAGGGCTGGGGGTGGATATTGGTGAAGGCTTTTTTGGCCAGGGAGTGGCATGCCCTGGGATGCTGGCAGGGAGGGATGAGGGGGAGGGATGAGGGGGAGGGATGAGGGGGAGGGATGAGGGGGAGGGATGAGAGGGAGGGATGAGGGGGAGGGATGAGGGGGAGGGATGAAGGGAGTGCGTGGAGGAGAGAGAGAGCAGGGATTGTTGAAGGCTTGACCGCATGGGTGGTGAGGTGGGGGGAGGATATGAAGAAAATGGAGGGAGGCAGGGGATGGGGAGAAAATGTCGCTGTTAACTAGTGGGTGGTTTTGGGAATCAAGGAATGATTACAAGGCACAACCTCTAAGGTCATTGCAGCTCTTTTCCCGGCCCTTCTGCTGAACGTTTCCTCACAATTATCCAGGAAGGGGGTAAGGCATGAAACAAGACCCCTTCAGGCCACCCCTTCAAGCAGCCGTTTCAGCAGCTGTGCAACACCCGTCGCCTGTCCTCTCGTTGATGACGTAAGGCGACGGGTGTTGCACAGGGTAAAATAACGTACGGCTGCAACTGCTACGCAGGGGATAGCCGATGAGAAATTTCTACTAGGGGATAGCAGGGGTATCAGAGAAAATTAACAATGAATTGTTGAAAAGGCTTGTTTGTACTGCTTGGATCTCTGACTGGGCCTGACTGACTGGGCCTGCCAATTTCATACCCCGTGTCCTGTAGGTGGGTTCTCTGGTGCATGATAAACAGAGACTATTGGCATGGCACTGCAAGCAGGCCGTCAGATTCACTTTTAGAGACGTTGATGCATCAGGGTCCCTGTGAAAAAACCTGAATTTTTAGGGTTCCTAAAAAAAAAGGCCAGAATTTTCAATCACATTATGCATTTGTATACCTAAGGGCAGGCCCTATGTTATCAGGATAAATTATCCTGAATGTCCTGAATTCAGGATAGGTGTTGTGGGTCTGTCCTGACAATCAGCCCTGATGATTCAGGACAGTATTGAATCTCTGTTACGGGTGCAATGAATCGAAGTAGCGAGAATTGCACTAAGGTGTCAAACGAGTACAAAATGTGAGCGAAGGCATGAGTGAACATTTATACGCGAAACATGCAAACGGTACCGCGGTGCGTGCGAGCTAGCTAGTGCTATGCTGGAAGCGAGGCTCGGGCTAGTCCCGAAGCGTAGGCCGACACGGCCGGTCCAGCAGTGCGAGGTTTGGGAAAACAGTGCGCGCGAAGTCGGCGAAGCCCCGTTAGCAGTAACGGGCGAACAACGGCTGCTGCTGTACGCGATGTTGCAGGGCGCGCTAAGGAATATCGAGAAAATTCCTTACACTACCCCCCCCCTCAAGAAGCCCCCTCCGCTACGCGAGTGCGTGCATATCGCGGAAACCCCGGCTCCTCAGGTACACTTGCAGGGCAGGGTGGTTTTTGATGTTGGCCAAGGGCACCCAACTATCCTCAGTTGGCGTGCGGTCCTTCCAGCGAACGAGGAATTCAATCCTCCTGATTCCCGTGGGGTGTCGAATCCGATGGCTCAGGATTTTTTCGGGCTCGATGATCGGCTCCGATGCAGGGCGAGTCATGGATGGCGGGCGGTGACGAGGCAGTTGGCTTGTGGTTGGGATGTAGGGGCGAAGTAGGCTGACGTGGAATGAAGGGCTGATGTACCAGTCCGTCGGCAACAGTAGGTGAGCTGTTACTGGGGTAATCATGTGGCTGATTTGGAATGGTCCACAGTAGCGGGGTCTCAATTTCGGTACGACGGGCAGTCTTAGGTTATGTGTGTCGAGTAGTACATAATCTCCTGACTGGTACGTGACTTGGCGGCGGTGGCGGTCAGCGTTGCGCTCAGCGATGACGTTGGCTTTTTAATTGCTTCTGCGGCTCTAGTGCGGGCAGCTTGCAGAATTTCGACGAATTGCTGTGCACGTGGTGTTGGGTTGTCCGGACTCGGCGTCATGGGCACTGTAGGGTTTTGCCCGTAGTTCAGGTAGAAAGGGGACTGCTGCGTCGTCGCTGACGTGGCGTTGTTATACGCGAACTCGATCAGCGGCAGCTGCTGCTCCCAAGTGGTCGGGTCGTCGCACGTGGCACGAATCAACTGCTCCATTGTCTGATTCGTCCACTCCGTTGACTGTCGGTCTCGGGGTGGTACGGCGAGCTGAACTGTAGCCTTGTCCCGAACTGCTCCCGGAGGTTCTTCATGAAGTTGCTGGTGAACTTCGTGTCGCGGTCGCTGATTATCGCGGCTGGTATCCCGTGTAGTCGAACGACGGCTGTGATGAACAGGCGAGCGGTTTCTTCGGCTGAGATCGATTTCTTGCACGCAGCAAAGTGTGCCATCTTCGCCAACCTGTCAACGACGACCATAACTGCGTCGTTACTCCCAGGGTTCGAAGGTAACCCCGTAACGAAATCCATTGTAACCTGCTGCCAGGCGCGTTCAGGCGGTGGAATCGGCTGCAACTGACCCGCCTTTCCTTTTCGCGAGCTCTTCATCACCTTACACGTAGGACACGAGCCCATGTGGTGCTGTACGTCGGTCAACAGCTCCGGCCAGTAGTAATACCGCTGCAGTTGCTGTCGCGTTTTTTCTACCCCGAAATGTCCCGAGGTAATCCCGTCGTGTGCCTCCTGCGGTAACAGTTCCCTCAGTAGTGAGTACGCGGGTACCTAGATGCGGTTGGTGCCTGTTTTTATGTAGTAGACTCCTTTGGCCTCTGCCAGTTGCTGTGAATTGCCGGTTGTGAAAAATGGGTCGGTACTGTATCCGTGGGTGAATAGGCCTGTGAACAGCGGGTTGGTTTGGGCGAGTAGGATGGCGTGGAGTTGGGCGGTGGGGCGTGTGAGTGCGTCGACGATGTTGGATGTGCCTTCTTTGTACGTGACCGTGTAGTGGAAGTTGGACTCCAGATAGTCCAACCAGCGGATCTGTCGTGGGTTGAGATTCGGTTGGGCGCGAAGGTACTGTAGGGATCGGTGGTCTGTCCGTACTGTCACGTCTGCTCCCGTGAGGTAACATCGCCACACCTTGAACGCGTGCATGATCGCCAGCATCTCGCGGTCGTGTATCGGGTAGTTGCGTTCGGGCGGGTGAAGCTTGCGGGACTCGTACGCGATTGGCTGAAGGCCGTTCCAGAAGTCCTGCAGCAGTACTGCTCCCACAGCGATGTCGCTAGCGTCGGTGATCAGCTCGAATGGACGGTGCGGATCTGCGATGTGAAGCACGGGCGGTGAGCACAAAATATTTTTGAGGGTCGAGAAGGCAGCTTGCTCTTTCTCCCCCCACGTGTACCCAACCCCCTTCCTCAGCTGGTCGGTCAACGGGGCAGTCAGCTTCGCCATGTCGGGGACGAACCGGCGCACGTAGTTGACGAACCCCAGAAAACTCTGCAACTCGGTCAAGTTGGTCGGCGCGTGCCATGATTGAATCGTCGCGATCTTTTTCGGGTCTATTTCCACTCCTGCAGCTGAAATAATGTGTCCCAAAAATTCCAGTCGGTCCTGTAAAAACTCACACTTAGACGCTTTTGTTAGTAGGTGGTTCTCACCCAGTATCTTAAAAACTGCTTCGATGTCCTGTAAGTGCTGTGCTCTGTCAGGGCTGTAAATCAA